AGCTGAGTCCTGGGGGAAAGAGATGAACACCCGAGCCCAGACAGAGCTGTGAACCAACAAAAGCTGTGGAGGACTGGATCTCTCTCTCCATGCCTAGTAGTAGCAACTCCTCAAAACAGTCTATTCAAAGGCCCCAAAAGAGATTAGTAGATGCAGGATGGCATGAAGCTGCTTTACCATGTGGCACTGCCATATATTTGAAAGAAGAGTAACCAAGGGTCTCTCTGGTCATTGGGTTTAATTAGGGTCTGTCTCTTATATTAGTATTGATGTTACAGTATACCCAGAGGTCTTACTCTGCTGGGTTTTGTACACAGCCATTGTGCTGAGGAGCTTACAGTGCAGGTGGATGACTCCATGGGTGGATCTAGGATTTTGAAAAGGGGGGTGAAGATGGTATGGCACATTGTATATAACACAACCCAAAGTTTTCTGAATTTAAACAGAAACTAGAAGGTTTACTACTAGGCTTGGGGCTACCTCTATGTCATTCAGTTTAAGATCAAAGCAAAAATAAACATAACTATTTAAACATCCACTAATTTACTGAATTACATATAAGGTTTGAAAAAAGCACAACAAAGTAGGCAAAAAAAGTCAAAGTGGTCAAAAGATATTATGTCATGAGTCCTGTAATCATTACAGTTATATGTACATCTCTTATTCAGATTCACAAAGCAAAATCTAGCTTCTTTAGTGTCTTGACACTGCCCTTCCAACACTTCACTGTCAGTTAATATTACCACACTTGAGTTAAGCTTTTCAGCTGGAACTAAAAACACTCTACAAGGCTGTGAAACAGAGGACAGACATTACCAGGAATGGCTAAAAGCCAGCAAAACTGCAAAACAAAGAATAGTTTGAATAGGGGAACATCAAGACCATTAAAAAAGATAGACAGTCATTAACACCTATGCAGTGGAGAGATTGGCAGGAATCAGGGAGATGAAAATGAGACATAAAGTCAATTGACTCTCTCTTAGCACTGCCTGAAGAGAAATGCTGCTGCGCCTCTCAGGGAGTTGGTTTTAAACTTTGGGCGAAGCGGGAATCAAAGGGATGGTGCAATTACCCCACTGCACAACCCCACCTCCCCTGGATCCCCCCCTGGATGATTCACACAAAAGAAGTATCCTCATCCCTTCTTCAAAGATGTAGAAGTAAGGTAAAGAGGAGTCATGGTCATACAGGAGGTTAGGGCATGGGCACACAAGCAAGTTAGTGTGAGGTTAGCTAAGGCACGCCCATGCAACGCATCAGCTACCTCACAGTGGGCACGTGTAGACGTGCGCAGTTGTTACTGTGCAGCCATTTAGTACCTGCTTTAGCAAGTACTAAATGACTGCGCAGTAAGCGCCGTTACTACACAGTCCCAGTGGGGCATGGATCATTTCTGACCCTATTGTGCAGTAGCAATGAGCTACTGCGCAGTAGCACTGGCATCACAGTTCGTGCCCACTGATGCTACATCACTGTCGTGATGAGCTACGTTGCTGTAGCTCGTCGCTATGGCGACGTAGCATCTCGTGTAGATGCACCCGGTAACTGCTAAACACGAGGTAATTAACCATTCAGTGAAAGTGGGGTAAGCGGCCTTGCATTTACCGCCAGGTAACAGCACGTACCCAGACAATTACCGTGCAACAGCTGACACTCTAAGTCCATTCCCCTGCATGCCTCAGGCTAACCTTAAGGACAGACACAGGACCTGAGCCCAGATCTCCTGAGCTGCATCCCAGTCTCTTCAGCATGAAATCATCCTTCTCCTTAAGGCTATTATTATTTATTTTCTTTATATCTGCAGTCCTGGCCTTTTAAATCTGCTCCTGTTCTATGGGAGGGGAGTGATTGTTTTAATGTTACCCAACTGAATTCAGCTACAGATATTCTGCAAAGGCTGGGTCTCAAGACACCTTTTACCAAAATACAAATTAAACTGAAGAGAAGGAAAATAAGTCCCAGGCCTCACTGTCACCGAAGGACTCCAGCTAACCAGCGGGATCCTGCAGCTGAGGAGAACGCTCCCCCTCGGCCACCTGGGGCTGAACAGATCACAGAAAGAAAGGGGGTGCTCCTGTCATTCCCAACAACACCACACTGGTAGGAGACAGGGGGCACATCTACACATTCATTAATGCGCCTTAGATGCTGTGCGTTTAATTTAGTACTTGCTTAATAAAGTACTAACTAAATCCGCAGTACCTAGAGTTACTGCACAGGAGCGCTGGTGCACGGTTATTTTGTAACACTTATTGTGCATTAGCCTAATAACACTGTGCAGTAGGCTATGAGCATGGGTTTTAACCACCACGCTACTGCGCAGTGTTATTAGGGTAATGCGCCGTAAGCGTCTCACGTAGATGCGCCCAGGAAGTACAAAAACAGGAAAAATCAAAGCCACCTGTATAATGCTAGAAAAGAGAAAAGGCACATGCTGGTCATTTTATAATGACACTTTCAGAGTATTTTACTGCTTGCCTGTTCAGCGACAAAGACAAGGAAACCCAGTCAGAGTTAGAGCCTCTAAAACGACTTTAAAGAGGTGTAATGTTAATTAATTATGAATTTCTGTGACAGTTCTTCAAGATTCCTCATTTCTAGCATTTTATGACACTTTGTCAGGGCAACATAAGCCACACCAAACTATTCACAAGGCCCTACCAAACCAGGAGTTTTAAGATTCAAAATGCAGGGGTGAAGGTTGTAGCCGTGTTGATCTAAAGACCTAGGCAGACAAGGTCCTTTGGGTAAATCTGGTATCTTTTATTAGACCAACTCAAATAGTTGGAAAAATTCTTCTTAGCAAGCTTTTAGGTTTAAATACCCTTCAGACTGACAAAGAGTATTTCTACCTGAAAGTTTGCTAAGAAGAATTTTTCCAACTATATGAGTTGGTCTAATAAAAGATATCAGATTTACCCAAAGAACCTTGTCTGCCTAGGATCCAACACAGCTCTTTTACATTGATTTAAACTGTAGGCTCCTTGCAACAGAGACTATTTCTTCTCCAGCATCTTCATACATGCAGTGTGAGCTCAATTGCACGCTCATTATCCATTCGCCAGCCAGTCTGGACTGCAATATAATCATCTGTATGGCAACAATTAAAAGCAATGAATTAGCCTATAAAATGTCCCTCATACAGAACAGCTAGGGGAAAACCGAAAGGTCCTCTTCCAAGTCGTTTTAAATAAACTGAGTGTTCTTTGGGTCCTAAAGAGAATTTAAATGCATCAGGACAGTCTCTCGGCTCATTTTGCCTTTCTAGTGTTTGAAAAGGCTGTATATGATCCCTTATAAGTGGGGGGGAAACCCAGCTAGCTGTAGCTCACGAAAATCTCTCCCATGTACATATAAAAAATGAATAAGCCCTCTGTCAGTGAGACGTTGAAGTAGAATTTCCGAGTTTCATGTCAATTCATTTCAGTTCCCGTTATCGTGTTCTCATCGCTCTCCCTCTCAGAGATTGGTTTTGAAGAGTAGGACATGCACAGAATCACAGGCCAGTCCTGCGCCAGAAGGACATCTCTTAGCCTCGCGCTGAATGCTGTTCACAAATGACTCTAGGTGATGATGTCCAGAAGGATCAACAAGGTTATAGGAAATAAATCTGAGCAACGGTTTTTGATCCTCAGGGGAGGTTGGGTCCCATTTCTTTGCTCCTTCCAAAAGCTTCAGCCAATTGCTCCCACTGGTTTTGTCTTCTCCTTGAAGGGGAATTTCTGGGAATTATCCCATGGGAACCTGAGGATCGCAAAGAAGCTGCCAGTTTGTTACCAATAACCTTGCAGATGCTTAGATGCTGTCACTGCATCGTTGGTCCTTGCAAAATGAGAGTTTTTTGCAGATCCTAGCAACCTGTCAGTGCCTGCCTCCCACTAACGCTCCTATTCTTCTGGCCAGTGTTTCCAGATGCTTGAGGGAAAGGACAAAACTCACAACTCTTGTGTTTGAACCTAGCTGACCTTAAACTAATGTATTCCCGGACCAATTGACATATGGAGTCTTATTATGTACTGTTTACTTACAGAGCGGAGGTCTTAAGAATCTGTTTTTAATTGAGTTTTTTACTTAACAGAACTCAGCCTGGTGGAGCGAAGTTCACAAGAGAGAGTGTATAGATAGCAGCTTAAACAAAGAAACCATGAGGCTGAATATCGGGAAGATGATAGTAATACCAACGGAGATTTTCTCTCAAAGGTCGTGCTGAAGACCTGCGTCAAGCAAGGAACTCTGGGAGAAAGCCCTGAAAGGGGAATAGATAATTTCACAGATAATTTTTCCATCTGTTATTTGTAAGATTTTGTACAGACAGTCAGAGACAGCAGGGGGCTTTATTCTCCTTTTATAGCCAAGCTGCATTTTGAAGGGGAGAAGCATCTTTTGTGAAATGACTCTAAATAGCTGACACTGCTTCTGACAGGCTTGGGGCCCAATCCCAAAACCTCGGAGATCGATTGAAAGACCCACCTAAGCTTAACAAGGTTTTGGATCAGGGCCTTAAAAGAGTCTTCCCACTGACTTCAGTGAGTTCTGCGCTGGGCGCTTAAAATTCATACGGTAAATTTGTGTTGTGCAGCTACATTCAATGCATATTTAAAGTCCTCCTCCCCTCATCCATCAGGGAAAAAATCATTTCTACTTAGAGGCAGGGCACAAATTTAAAATCAGGTGATCAGACGTCCTGAAGAGGCTACGTATGTCCCCATTCACAGCATGGCAGAAACTGGCCAAGACTGGTGAGATGGCAAGGCCATCCAAGGTGGACACGTCTTGGATCACTTGCTACAACCAAGCATTTAAGCTTACATGCAGTTCTCTTTGCAGGAACCTTTGCCCTATGCCCTCTGCAGTTATTCAGCCCGGGGATGCCACCTTTTGGAAGACAGGTCAACACACCAACATGAAGCAAACAATCAGAGATGGTCACAACCATGACACAGAGCTCGGTTCAGAAGTGACAGCAGGAGTATCTTAGCTCTTAGCCTATTTTTGTTTACCGGGGTTTGTCTTCTCAAGCTGGTACCATCTGTAAAATGCCCTTTTCTTTTGTTCACTCAGGTCTGATCCCTGCTGCAACAGCCAATGGGAGATCCGGCTCTGGCTGATACCTGCAGGAAACAAAGAGAAAGAGAGAGGGAACTCTTTTTCGATTTACATTTTAAAGAAAATCCAGAGTGGGTGAAAGGTGCTGTCTGACAAGGCTCAGAAGCTGAAAGCCAGCACTATGTATATGTACTTTTTACTTTCTACAACTGTGATTGACTTGCCAGCGGGGTAGATATCAAATTGGGCACAAGGAGCCCTGGCTTCTTCTCCCAGCTCTACCACTGGCTCACACTGGCCGCCAAACTACTAAATAAATTGCAACTACTCTATAAATACATCACAAGCACTCTGCCTCAGTATGTCCATCTGTAAAACGGGACTAATGATACCTACCATTGTAAGGCATTTTGCGATTGACAGGGGAAGAATTTTATTTAAATGATTTTATTGCTAAATGTTTACTCTGTGTCCTAAAATCAAGAAAAACAGCAGCTAGTAGGACTGCGATACAGACAGCTGTCCAAAATGGAAGGGAATGCTTCACCTACCAGTTCACCTCACACAGGCTAGAAAGAAAACCAAACCAAAAATGCAACTGTTTGTGAGTAAACAGTCCTGAAACTGGATTAAAAATGTGACCTAGAGGTGAAAAGATTCAGCTCTCGAAGATAATTTTATACCTGGCTTATAAGAAAGTTACCAAGAGGCCATTTTCCAGAAGTGGAATGTATGCTTTTAGGGAGTGAAGCAGAATGTAGGGTCAACATTGGCTTTCCATCTATCACATGGAAGGGAAAAATTAATGAGATGGATGGGAACCAAAACTCATCAACTTCAGAGGTAAAAAAACAGGCCTGAACCTCACTGTGAGAAACACATACTTACCAAAGCTATTCCAAGATGCATACATATGTCTACAATATAAAGCAATATTGTGCAAAAGGCCTCGTGGTAGCTATGAGCACACCTGCTTCCGTACCAGATACTGCTCAGGGCCAGGCAGCACTGGGCAATTATTAACAGCTGGCTCTGGCACTGGAAGTATAGCGGCATTAACATACTAGTGCCCTTAGCTAATTCCCTCTGCTGTAAGTGCCATGCTAATGCACCTGTACTGTTCCCAGCTCCAGGGCTAGTTTGTGCAGAGCCGGCCCCGGTATCCCTGCATGGCACTGTTTTGCACCGTGTAGAAGTGCTGTATAAAATTCAAAGTTCAGGTAGCCAAAGCAAAAGGGTAACAGAGGAACTTCTCAGAGCCCGTGGCCATTCCTGACAAGGTCATTCAGCTATTGGAAAAAGTTAACAATATCCTCTGAGAATTAAAGCTCTAGGAGGTGCTCCAAGTAACAGTATATTGCCGAACACCACCTGTGCCAACACCTGTTTAGCCATAATACACAACAGGAGGGCTGGTTTTCACGAGGAAATCAGACCTACCTCTCCCCCTCTCGAGATGTGTAAAGGTTTTATAAGGTCTTGCAATCATATTTAAGACAGAAACAACCCCCTGTAGTTTTACCTCGTCTATTAAGGGCTTTCTACTAGGCCTTTTTGAGTTGAGCACAGAGGCTAGTGACTCAACTTTGCCATCTCAGGAGTCCAATTCAGATGGATTTACTGCAACCTGGTTTTCAACATCAAAGGGTTATGTGCTGCCCTAACCTATGTTATATACAGAATCCTGGAAGTTTTGTTTTCCTGAAGAAAAGGAGCTCCTTTTTAAATATATGCAGGAACTCGGGGGTCTTTGACCAAATTCCCTCTACAAGAGGATGAAGCTGGACTGTTCTCAGTGGCGGCAGATGATAGAAGGAGCAATGGGCTCAAGTTGCAGCAAGGGAGGTTTAGGTTGGATATTAGGAAAAACCTTCTCACTAGGAGGGTGGTGAAGCACTGGAACAGGTTACCTAGAGAGGTGGTGGACTCTCCATCCTTGGAGGTTTTTAAGGCCCAGCAAAGTCTTGTCTGGGATGATGCAGTTGGGGCGGGTCCTGCTTTGAGCAGGGGGTTGGACTAGATGTGACCTCCTGAGGTCCCTTCCAGCCCTCGTTTTCTAGGAGTCTATGACTCTGAGACACAGCACAACGTGATTTTCCGTCCGTCCATCGTGTATTTTGTATTCCCAAACAACCCCTTTCAAAGACGGTCTCTGCCCCATCTACTGTTGGAAACAGTTGGGGCAATCGTAGCTGCTTATCCCTGCGGGTAAAATTGTGTGGGGTCACGTCACTTGGGGTGGGGAGTATTACTCAGCTGGAACACATCTTGGGTTTTATGTTACATCTAACTTTTGCGCAGGATGCAGGCAAACCTATACCCACAGAAGTCAAATGATAGTGGCAGAACTCCCTGGTGCAGCTCAGGCCATCGTTAGCTATTGCCAGCATTGAAGGCGTGCGGGCTAGGAGCGCGTCCTCACTGAAGGGAGCCTGTCCTGATACTTGCTTTCTCTGGTGCTGCACCACAGTCCACACTGGGGCCACTTTTGAGCACAAGGCTTAAAGCATTTGGCTTTCCTCAGCTGTGTTTTCTCAGCTGGATGATGGGTTTTTGATGACTGCTAAAGTTTACATTCATTTATTACCTATTCATAGGCACTATGATCTGCTTTTAATGATGTGATCAAATGAATGTTTGTACTATGCTCTGAAACACAGTCATGTATAGATGTAGGGTATTATTAGACTTTACAGCTCTGGACACACAACGCATTTTGAGATGGATCAGGGCATCCAAGCACTGCCCGAGAGGCTGTCCTTGCCCACTGATACACTTGTTTTGTAGAAAATGGTACAGCTCAGAGCCACTTAATATACCAGTGTTGCCTGCAGGTAACCATGCCAGCCTCAACGAGTGGCATGAGAAGGGAGCTGCTGTGTGTCCCAGCCCCACATGGTTCAACTTTGTCCCTAGTTTGCTGCCCACAGTACTGTTATGCTTAATGAAACAACCCAGCGAATATACCTAAAGAGCCTGGAATCACTGTCAGCTTGAATCACAGACCAGCTGGAAAAGGAGAAGTGCACATGGTTGCATCTCCAAAGACTGATAGAAGAGTTACATCTTTTATACCTTGGTAATACATTAGATAACTATGAGAACTAATCAGGTTCTAATTTCTAAAAGAAAATAAATCACCAGTTACTACATGGATAATCATGCAAGAATATCCTATTTCATTATGCTGGTATGTATACCAATTAGCCGTTCTCACGGTTAAAACTTGGAAGATGTGTCATTTGACTTATCTTATGCATCCGATCTGCAAGGGCCTTGAAACTCCCTGCTTGTACTTTTGGCAGCCTGGTACTATCTAATACTTATACTTATCACCCTCCAGGAAGAAAGAAGGCAGGAGAAGAAAGGGAAGAGGGGGACTTGGTTAGAAATTGAGGTCTTGTTAAACTACAGAGGAGGGTATGAATGGGGACGGAGACTCGCTAGAAGCTGAGGCCTTCCTGAGCCAAGGTTTTGCTGAAGCCTTAGCAAGGCAGTGTCAGGGAACAGGGCCTCTGGTCTATCCAACAGGAGCCAGGAGATTGTAGCTCAGGTCCCAATTCCATTGCTGACCCTTTGTGACTGCTGGCAAGTCCCTATTTAGCCACCATCTCCCCTTCTGGGAAATGAAGCTTTGTAGGGAACACTGTGAAGGACAGCTTGGGTCACTGCAAGGTCCATGAGTGCATTTGCAGGTCCCACCCTAAAATGCTCTATCCGTGCAATGCAGAAAGTGGCGGGCTGCGCTCTGGACACCCACTTCTGCACCAAAGCAACAAAGGCAGATAAATACCCGTGATCAGGATCAGCTCCTTTTCTCTCTGTTCACACAGTTACAACTTTTATTCAAGCCTCGAACCTCAGTGGCTTCTCCAAACACACGTATCTGCTAACTCCCTTTCCCTCCACCAGTGATTCAGGTTGCAGCTGCTCAGGTTGTAATCCTGGCGACTGTTCTGAAGACAACCCTGGTTCCCTCTTCTTTACCACGTCACGTTCAAACTTGTAATCATTTCCCTCCCCAGTTTTGCAACTACCTTCGGCTTGTAGGCTGGATATTGGTCTGGGGCACCGACGATTGTCTCTTGTATCAAGACAGGGTTGGCACGCTTTGGATGGTAATGCAAATTACATAACGTTTTGCATTTTAGGAAACTCTAACTAAAAGTGATTTGGGATTTTTACCTCTGTGAAGTAATATGGATAGTTCTTATTATTTATATTGACGAGGAACCAAGAGAGCCCCAAACCTGTTCTCACAAAAAGCAAGAGGCAGATCTTGCCTCTACAAGCTTATGGCCAAAATGAATAAGTAATCTTAGATCCAGTTTACAGGTGGCAAATGGAGGCAGAGAAAGTATGTCCAAGGTCATGCACAGTCAGTGGCAGAGAAGTGAGTTTTAATTTTCTGAGTCTCAGGCCACTGCTTTAACCATAAATCCATCCTTTCTTTCTTTATTTGAATGTCATTGCAAACAAAATACTGTGATGCAGTTTCCGCCGCCTAAAAAATGTGTGTTTTATATAAATGACTCACAAGGGCACTGGGAAAGGAATCCGTGCAGTCTAGTGCCTGTACCATCCAGTTGTATAGTTTATAATCCTGCTATTTCAGGAAATTGCACTGGCAGGAAAAAAAAGAAATCATACTGCTGCCAAAAGCACATTTGTGAAGCAAATTATCTGGAGTATCTAACGTCCAGCTGCCTGAAGGAATCCACTCTCAGACTGACCCACAGACCCCCCAGAAAGGCCTTTGCCCTTCCGTCTCTGGGTTAATAGGTCAGGAGCGCATCATGGTAAGTGCAGTTAGTTTTGCCGCAGAAAATAACAAAGAGGGTTGCATTTCCCAAAAGAGTCTGGGCCTATCAGATTTCAGCTCCAACTTCAGCACTTATCCTACCCTGTTAAATGCTCCCACTTTACCCCCCCCGCCTTGCTTTTTTGCCCTCCCACATCACACACTGGCAGTTTCCAGAGCAGCAAGCTGAACCAGAGAAGCCTACACCAGGGTGCATGGTTTTTTGGGCCTATTCCATATCCAGGAGATTATTTGGGGAAG